GGGAAAAAACCCAATGAAATAAGTTTTTGTAAGCAACATTTAATCTCCTGCTTGAATTCATTTAAACAACTACCCTGAACAACCAGATCTAACTTTAAGACTGAACTTGATAGAGAATAGCACCTTACATCTTAAATTCTTCTCAGAATTGCCACCTAACAAGAAATCTTGCTGCACTTTTTTACCCAAAGGGACATGTTTGAAGGCTATCACATGTAACTTGCCACCACAGACTTGCATTTTAAAAACATTGATGATCATAGCAGCTTGTTCTTACAACTGGGATTTTTGCTCAACATGGGATGACATTCCCTCCCTTTCCTAGGGAAGCTGGCACCTCAGTGACTCAAATTCTGACTCAAAAGACTAACAAATTAAGTCCCTGGATATAAAGAAGATGATGATGTGCCTGCTTTTAATTGTAAATCAGACTTGAAGCTTCAGCTATGAAATCTAAGATGAAGCATCATCATTTTCAATCCATACCATGTTGGGAGGAAACCTCCATGATCATCTGGTTCAAGCTTTCTTGGCAAAAAGCACAGTCTAGACATGATGGCCCAGGACCCTGTCACAGCTGAATCTTACAAGTGTCTACATTGGGGAATCCACCACTTCCCTGGGGAGATTTTTCACAGTGAGAGCAATCAACTAGTGGAATAGTTTTCCTCATTTCCAATTGAAGCACCCCTTACCCCTCATCTTTTCCATGTCACCCCTGTGAAAACACCAGCTCCCAGCCCTGGAACGTGGTGCCAAGTTCTGTCCCTAAGCTTTATTTTCTCAAGGCTGCACAAAGACAGTTCTCTCAGTATTGGCTAATAATACTACAACAGTATCATAATAATGATATACTCAATTCACTTGAGTGGACCAATGAAAAGAATAAGTGCTTTCTCCTTTATGGATATACAGAGAAGATTTCTGCCACCCTACTTGAGGATAGCTGCAGATGATGACCTTCAGCAGGAGTGGAGTCCTCAAGTCCTGGCATATCCACCTGAGAATTTTCCTTTCCTTTTATGATGATATTCCTGTGTATGTATGGAGCCAGAAAGCAAGGCAAGGTAAGGGAGGAAATGCTATCAAGGAGCAGTAATAGCACTACAGTCTTGTGAAGAGTGCCAGCACAAAACAGGTGTATTATTCAAGGTGTCTCATGATCATTCTTCACAACAGGTAATAGAGAAGTAGGGTGCAGGAGGGTTTGAATGCACAAGAAAACCTGAAGTTAAGGTGAAAGGCAGAACAAGCCAGGGCAGTCAAGTGTCCATATCCTGTCTGCTTACCTCATCTGGGCTCCATGTGCAGCAAGGAGCAGGCAGGGGTAGGCAGCTGAATTCCATTTGCCTGCTCACACACAGTGTTGCACCCACACTGCTCCTTGTGAGAAATTCTGCTTAGGCTATAGTATGTACCACTAAAAAAACAATGATCCTTTGTACAGAAGAGATCCTTTGTACACAGAAAATGGGAACTGCTTTAAGGAAGGAGATTTTTCACCCAATAGAGACAAATATTTTGTTCTGCATAGGCAGCTACGGCCCCTCCTAGCAGACATGCCTCGAGGTTTTGCCTCCAGTCATCTTGTTTCTGTTGTGACAAGATCAAGAAATTGTTCATCATGCCATTCTCCTCTCTCTTTCCCTGAGGCTAGCAACCTATTGAAACCACAAGAATGAGCCTGTCCCAGAGCACAGGAGATGCTAACCTAAGCAGGGATAGGGGGCAGAGGCAGTGCAGAGGACTGTCAGAAAGAGAAAAGAAAAATGCTGTCTTTTTGGCTCAGTAGAAAACTTTTTCCACATCTTTGTCCTGACTAAAGTCCTGTGTCCCACTTCAGGTTTGATTGTGAAATAGATGATTTGCTAGAGAAAAGATAGTTGCATGGAGTTGCAGGTTGCTGTGCCAAAGGCAGCTCCACATGATTCAGACACACCTATTTATCAGATTGTTTTCCTAGGACCTTACAGAAACAATGCTGGCAGACCCAGAAGTGGCTCCTGTGCCTTGCAATGAGCAAGCTAAACAGCAGAACTTGCTTTGCTGTAAGCCTTTTGAGACTTCCAAATTAAAGAGTACAGTTTCCAGAAGCTGTGCCAAACTACTTACACAAGGTTGCTCCTTCAAAGTCACTTTCCTCCTCTTAGTCCAACAGGAGTAGGGCAGCCTGCAGTCTGTAGCATTGATGTTATCACCTGTTGAACCTCATAATTAAATACGGAATGAACGTCTTTAAGCTCTGCTGTGGCATGCCACTGCATCTGACAGAAAGAAAAAATGTCAGGGAGGCAGAGGTGAGCCACTGACCTCAGCATCTGACAGTGGCCACTAGCCATGACCAGGTCCATGTCTCAGCACCTGGAGACCTTTGCTCACTTGGTGAGCTCACCAGAGGAGTTCTGAAACACAGCTGGAAGTCTCAGCTGTTCCAACTGACCTCTGGTTCCAGGGAGGAAGCCCTGCCCTGGGTCTGAAACACGGAGCTCTGCAACCAGACACAGATGCACCCATTTAGCACGTTCATGTTGGGAAGCAGACAGGTTCAACAGCAAATGGGGAATGCCAGAGGCAAGGGTTGTTCTGAAAGAGGAGCAGACCCACGCCTGTCCTGTGGGAAAACTAATGCCTAGCACAATCAGACTCCAGCATGCATTACTGACTCCACTTAAGCAGCTCCAGATAATTGGGGGCAGGGAGCATTAAAAGCCATGCAAGGACATTTATTCTGAACACTGCAGGTTATTCTAAAAGCCCTGAAGATTCAGAGCTCTGCACAATTTAACTGCAACTAAAATACTTGGGTGACAGTTCAAATTCTTGACTGATTTCACATAAAGGAGATGTTTTCCAAACTGACAAATTGAATGGAACAAACCCTAATAAACATGTTGCAACAGAAAAGTTAACTCATTCCATCTGAATAGATGTAGAAAAAACAATTGAGTTAACTGTCAGGGTTCTTGATGCTCTTTCAGTTTAATTTTTTCTTCACCAGTTAGTCTAAGTTCCCTCCAACTTTCAGATAAAATGTTTCAAAAATTATACTAAAACATACCTGACAGACAGCTGTTAATTGTATTAGTGAAAACTATTTAAGTCCTTAATAACTAGATGGTTCATATGTGGTTTTTTTAAAATGTTAAATATTTCATATTTCTATGTCATATCTTTGGAGTAAACACCATTACACAGAACTGAAATTCATTGTTCATTTAGAATACATCAGACAAGTCAAGTAGGGCCAGCTGGTCCTAATTACTTTTACCAGTGGCTCAGAAATAATTCTATTTTTTAGGGAGGAAACAATGCTGGTTACCTTTCAAATGATCTGCTTTTGGCAGTTCTTACTACTGAAGGTGGCTGCTAAGGCTTTTTATGGATTACACAGGAATGCTGTGCCTAAGAAGGGTAGCTGCCAGTGCTGGCAAGAACCAGACCATTGTTTAGATCCAAACTTAAATCTCACCAGTTCAGATTAACCTAATACAGTAAATTGTACCCAGCAGCAGAGGTTTCAGAAAGATTATGGCAAGCACAGTTATCTCCCTCAGAATTCTGCACCATTCAGTACCTCCTGAAGTGAAAATAATGTGTTTATAATTTGAGTTGGAACAGACAATCATAGTCAGAACACCTTAAAACAACAATTGTAATTTTAAACAAGAAAGATGGCAACTTCAGCCCTTTTAAAAAGCAGGAATTCCATTAAGGTAATTAAGACAACTAACTGTAAAATTTTTACTCTAAATTCTGCTTATCTTAAATATTCATGTAGGATAACTGAATTTCTTAACTTCAGCTCTTAGCCATAAAACTTTGTAGACACTTTCCATCCTTCATCCAGCTATGAATAAATCATCCACACCAAAGATAATTTAAAAACCAAAGAGTGATATTAAATGGCTTGAAAAGAAACTAGTTTGCAATTTCTTAAGCCCTTACATTTATTTCAACCCAGGTCAGTTTTCCTCTGCGTAGGGAGGAAAGACAATTATTCTTCACAGGTCATCTAGATCACCACTTAATAAAAAGGTCTCAAATCTGCTTTAGAAATACCAAATTTTTCTAAAACTTAAGTCCTTCAGCATAAGAGGACCAATCAAAAATTCACCCAGTATTACTTTAATCTTTGCTCTTTAATGACATGTAAAAATACTGGACAAAGTCTGTTTTGACATTACATTCCACCCTGAGCAACACACAGGCTGCCTCACAGGTTGTAGGCACAATGAAGTCACTCTGTAGGTGGCTGGCAGACTTTCATACCACTTCTGTTGCTTAGCCACAGATAAGGGCCCACACTTGAACAAAGCACACATTAAAACAGCACCACAGTCGAGACCAAGTTAAGATGTACCAGTACAATCTTTTCATCACTCACTTTTCAAAACAAACACCCAAAAAACCACCCCAAAATACAGGAGTTGAAGGCATCTAAAATAAGACCAAGATGTACCAGTACAATCTTTTCAGGCACTCACCTTTTCAAAACAAACACCCAAAAAACCACCCCAAAATACAGGAGTTGAAGGCATCTAAAATTGAGTTAGAGCAGCAACAACTTCACCTTCCTCAGATTCCATCTTTCAGATTCATGAAGAACATACCACAGAGCCACCTTTGAGATTTAAGGGTTATTTGTAGCCAGGTTTGACTGCTTAAAGCCAAGAAGGCAAATCTACTGTGCTGAGGTATGGAAAGGTTCTTCACTGTCCGCCATGTCTGTCTGTTCCCATAGAAAAATTTCCTAGGCAGGAAGTTTGATAACGCCACCTCTCACCACATTTTAATATATAAGAAAGACAAGTATTTATGGAGGGTACTGTAGGTTTAGGGGGAAAAAAACAAACAAGATTTAACAACCTTTCTGTGTACACAAATCGCTGTGTACACAAATGGCTAATGTGCTAATAGGCAGTATTGGCAGCAGCTGTAGCTAGACCCATTTGCCAAAATAGTATCTGTTTCAATCCATTCACTTTTCCATAAAAGCCAAATTTCCAAGTAAGTATAAATATTTATATTTGAAGCCATAGTAACATGGTAATAATTTTTTGTCAAAGATCAGAAAACCCCCAAACTCTCCAAAAAGATTTTTCCAACATCAAACCCCACATCAGGTATATTAAATTACCTAAATGCCACCTGCTCCCTCCACATGCCAACAGAAGCAGTTCAGGCAGTAGGTGGGACCCATGGAGTTGGCAATATTCCTGAATTCCTCTTTTTTATCCTTTTCCCAAAGAAGTCACAGGAGCCATCTCAAAGATACCAGTTTCATTCCGACAGATTGCTCCTTTAAGGTACTCTCAGTAGAAAAGGTAGAACTTTAAAGCATGGCTTCAAATGGCATATTTAAACAAAAGCAGACTGAACATTTCTGTGCAAATTTAGTTCTTCCAACCATCAGTTCAGAAACATTTTCAACAGAATGTTTACGTTAACAAACCATGTTAGTTTAGAATTAACAGGTAAGTACAGCATTTTAAAACTAGTTATCTAAATAGCATGTTGAGGGCAGTATAATACATTGAGAACTTTTAAACTGTTATGAGTCAGACAGACATTTTATATGGATTTAACACCTAGCAAAGTAAATTCTGTAACAAAGTGATTTTGCATTATGCATATAACACTGATCCTTAGGCAAACAGAGACACATTAAACCAACAAATCTGAGGACTGAGGAATGTTATAGCTGGTTGGAGTCTGCTACAAAATCCTTGAAGGATGCATTGCTATGTTGCTGTACATCTTAATTCAGGACACAGGTGAACAGCTTTAGCAGGAAACCTTTATACCAGCCACTTTAAAGCAAGCAGACATTTCAAAGTTTTTTGGTTGCCAGAAGTTTAATCTTGCTTCACTTCACCCTTTAATTGCCTTTTCATGCGTGAGTATGGGCTGATTGTGTCATCCATCACGAAGTCATACAGTACTTTTATCCAAGAGTTATACTGGGGCAGGTTGTCATAGTATTCAGCTGCTATTTTCTTCACCTGAAGGAGAGATATGAGGTTTATTTACTGGTTATATTAACATCAGTTGTGACAACTTTACAACCCTCGAGGTGTAACCTAGCAATGTGTAACAGCACAGGAAGTTTCATTCCAGAAGTTAGATCCTACAGGAAAGGCCACTTGTGCCACAATGTGAACGTTCCTTGAAGGAAAAAGCACTTCCCTAGTTATTAAGTAAATCTGCTGTGAAATTTTTGGAGCTGCCAGAACAAACTCAGCTGACTTTCCAAAGTCCCTTCACCGTGCTACCTACAGGGTGATGGAGCTCACAAAGCCAGCGGTTTGGTTGCTGTTTTAAGTTTGTGACTCAGTGCTGACTCACAGATATACAACTAACAGTAAAAAGGATGTTTTATGTTCTAGGAAGAGCTGTTTGACACAGCTATTTTTACATGCAGTTTCAAATCTCAGTACTCAGAAGAAAAAAGGCATTTTATTTCTCAGGCATATTTTGTTTCTGAAGACAGACTTCAAAGAATGAATATAAACTGCTTCCAAAGACTCTGTTCTCAGTTCCACATGTTAACTAGACCACTGTTTAAAGTGAGAGCACCAGTTCACTTCGGTGCCCATACTGCTATTTAGGGCCAGCCACTTAAAGCCTTAGAAACATGAACGGAACAAAAAGGCTTTTTCACAAAATTCCATAACTTTAGTCCCAAGAATAGTATCAATCTGTAAAAGCAACAAACAAAGCCAGGGTATTTACATGGCTTGGTTTGAAGGCAAAGCTTGTTTTGACCCATCACACCTATAGAGTAGTGCACCTAAACAAAGTACTTTTACTCAACAGTAGTAACTCAGCTCACCAGTGCTGAGAAATCAAGTGTTCAGTACTTAGAGATCTTTAGCACAAAGCACAGCAGTCCAATCCAAATTAACTGCATTATTTCAAAAGAAGGCTTTGTTTTCTTATCAGAGCTGTGGATTATGAGTCCTGCAGCAGGACTGGGTGTCTACCCCTAGAATTAAATACTTGGAAAAACTCATAGCCTGCTTACAGCTAAAGTACCTATCCAAGAAGGGAAGTGCTGGTTCACAGCACAGAACCAAGTATCAAAAGTGAGTTAAAGTAACTTTCACTGTATTTGAAAGATTTAGATCTATTAATAAAAGCAATCATCTAGCTTTAAAAAAAAAATTACAAAAAACCACACAAAGCCTCAGCAAACCAATTGCATGATCTACCTGCCCTGATAAAAGTGCTGGCATAGTTATTCCAGCTGCAGCTCCACCACTGACAAGAGAAATATCAATCAAGTTTGGACTTCAGAGGGATGATCTTACAAAGTCTCACTATTGCCAAATGCAATAACAAAGCTGTAAGACCAACACCACAGCTGCTGTCAAATTGCAAATTTAGTATCTGATGAAAAACTGAAGATTCAGATGTAACCCTGAAGCCTGTGTTCCCATTCTTCAACTGGGAAACATGGATACAGTGAGAAAGGAGCTCCTGCCTGTAAGAAGCAAAGGCTGAAGTAGGAGAAACTTCACCTCTGCTGCTCACGCAAGCATGACAGGTCTAAGTCCTGGCTTCAAAGTCTCTTGCCAGAGGAAACTGAAGTTCTGCAGACTAGACAAGTTATTAAACATTTGTCAGCAGTAGAGCAAACATTAACAGTACCTCAAACCCCCTTTTTTTCCTCCACCAGAGGATGTCCCTGATAGAAGAGGCTGAAGGATAAGCACACATTACAATACTGCCTTTAACATTCCAATGACAGAGATAACAAATCTGCAGAGTTACCTACAACTTCTTAACTAGTTTCTTGCATACTTACAAACAAGAATTCAGAAGACAGGCTGTAATTACAGAAAGCTAAAGTTAGTGCAAAGCATAAGATATGTGTGTTCCCTCCCCTCTCCTTTTATGGAAGAGGATTGAGCAGCAGCAAACTGGAAGCTTGTTTAGGCTATCACTAAAATGCTAAATAATTACCTCTTTTATCACTCAATTTATATCATGGATTTTTTTTTTTGTTTTTAATCTCCCAATTTCCATTCTTCTTTTAGTGTTCTACCTAATTTTCATGTTAAAGTAGGCCTTAATTTAAGAAAAAGTAATAACCTTAGAAGTTAACTTACCAGTGGAAGGCTCTTGCCAGGAATATTGGGGAAGTCATGATGTTCATTGTGATAGCCAACATTAAAAGTGAGCAAATTAAGTGGCCCATAGTAGGAATAGGTCTCATGCCCTTTTAAAAACATGTAATGTTCAGCTATGAAGTGTCCTGAAATTGGGTGCAACCCAAGACCAAGTACTGAACCAGCAAGCATGTAAAAAATGGATTTGACTCCCCATAAATAATATATTGCCACATCAAAGGCCAGCTGAGCCAATAAATTGATTATTTCAAGTCGACTAATGGGTTTAGGATTGATGCAGAGAGGTCTAATGGCATAGAAAAAAGGCTGAAGAACAATCCATATGAACTTCCTAAAGCGGGTGCAGAAGAACCAGCCCTCGAAGTTGGTAGGAATATCCACATCGATGCCGTCGCCGCCCAGGTAACGATGGTGATCCATGTGGTATCTCTTGAAGGATATGGAGTAGGGGAGACCAAGAGGGAGGTTGGCAAATATTCCAAACCATCGATTCCACATGGCTTTGCTGTTGCCAAAGGCACTGTTGTGGGAGATCTCATGAATAGCCAGGGTCATGGAGTGACTAATACAGCTTCCAAAAACGTAAGCCCAGAAGACCACCCATTTCCAATCCAAGTCTTTAACCAGATAGAATGCAGTCAGCTGCGCCAGAACCATCAGCACGACCACCCAGATCAGGTTGTGGTCTGGCTTCATCAATGCTTTTATCTCTGGATGTTTAGCTAGACAGGAAAAAATCAAATTAAGAAAGTTATTTCAAAGCTCTTCTCACAGCCAACTATCCCAATTAGATTAGAGTTTTTTCCTCCCTTTGTCCCAATTAGGAATTGTCTGCACAGGTAATGAAAACTCGTGACCTTTCCACTTGTGATATTTATTGCTATAATGAATCATTTGGAACCGAGTCATTTCAGCACTTTTACGTTGCTCAGCAACTAGGCACGTCCATGGCAAGCACCGGTACCACATCCAGCCTCCTCAGGAAGGAAATGGCTCTGAGCCGGCAGCCCACCCGGAATGCAGAAGCGCTCACCGAGGCTCAGCTCCGATTTCAGCGCCGCACTCGAGGCCGCTATCCGCCAGCCGCGTGTGCCGCGGTGCCCTCCGCGCACAGCGGGCCCCGACACCGCCTTATCGCCGTCCCGGGAGCGGCCCGGGGAACGGCCCGGGGAACGCGGGCTCCGTTCCGCCGCTCGGGGTGGCAGCCCGGGCCGCCCCCCCGCTCCTCTCCCCGCTCCTTCCCTTCCCCTCCCCCGCCAGCGCCGCCAAGGCGGCGGCTCCCGCCCCCACGTACGCGGGCCCGGCCCGAGCGCGGCCCCGCCGCCGGGAGGCTCCGGGGGCCGCGGCACCCCCGGCACGGGCGGCCATCTTGCGCGGTGTCCCCCCCGCTCCGCCACGCAGCCGGCGGCAAAAAGCGACGGCACCGCGCACTCCTCACCCAGGATCGCCTTGCGGCGGTCGGCGTGCGGCTGGTCCGTGTAGACCCACTCGAAATCCTCTCTAGCCACAGTGTTCCCCATGGCGGCAGCGCGAACCCCTCACTCCGGCTGCCCGCCCGCTGCGCCGAGCCCCCGCTACCGCGCTTTATAGCGCGGCGGAGGCGGCCCGCGGCCACGCCCCCTCCGCCCCGCCCTCGCCGCCCATTGGCTGCCGGCGGCCGCTGGGCGCTCTGCCGCCGCCGCGGCGCCCCCTGCCGGCGGGGCGGGACGGGCCCTGAGGGGCTCGGGGAGCGGGACAGGAGCAGCCCTCAGAGCGGAGAGAAGCAGCCCTCAGAGGAGAGAGAAACAGCCCTAAGAGGGGATAGAGCTGCCCTAAGAGCGGAGAGAAACAGCCCTAAGAGTGGAGAGAAACAGCTCTAAGAGCGGACAGGAGCAGCCCTCAGAGGAGAAAGAAACAGCCCTAAGAGCGGACAGAGTAGCCCTCACAGGGGAGAGAAACAGTCCTAAGAGGGGACAGAGCTGCCCTCAGAGCGGACAGGAGCAGCCCTCAGAGCGGAAAGAAACAGCCCTAAGAGCGGACAGAGCAGCCCTCAGAGGCGAGAGAAAGAGCCCTAAGAGCGGAGAGAAACAGCCCTAAGAGGGGATAGAGCTGCCCTAAGAGCGGAGAGAAACAGCCCTAAGAGGGGATAGAGCTGCCCTAAGAGCGGAGAGAAACAGCCCTAAGAGGGGATAGAGCTGCCCTAAGAGCGGAGAGAAACAGCCCTAAGAGTGGAGGGAAACAGCTCTAAGAGCGGACAGAGCAGCCCTCAGAGGAGAGAGAAACAGCCCTAAGACGAACAAGAGCATCCCTCAGAGCGGGACAGGAGTAGCCCTCAGGGCGGACAAGAGCAACCCACAGAGCAGGGAAGGAGCAGCCGTAAGAGCAGACAGGAGGAGCCCACAAAGAGGGGAAGGAGCAGCCCTCAGAGTGGAGAGGAACAGCTCTAAGAGTGGGACAGGAGCAGCCCTCAGAGCTGACAAGAGCAACCCTCACAGCAGGACAGGAGCAGCCCTCAGAGCGGGACAGGAGGAACCCCCAGGGCTGACAAGGGCAACCCTCAGAGCAGGACAGGAGGAGCCCTAAAACCGGAGAGGAGCTGCCCTCAGACAGGGCAGGAGCAACCTCAGAGCTGGCAAGAGCAGCCCTCAGAGCGGGACAGGAGGAGCCCTAAAACCGGAGAGGAGCTGCCCTCAGACAGGACAGGAGCAACCTCAGAGCTGGCAAGAGCAGCCCTCAGAGCAGGACAGGAGCAGCCCTCAGGAGAGGAGCAGCCCTAAGACAGGACAGGAGCAGCCCTCAGGACAGGAGCAGCCCTCAGACAGGACAGGAGCAACCTCAGAGCTGACAGGAGCAGCCTTCACACGGGACAGGAGCAGCGATCCGCCGTCCCAAACCCGCGCTCCCTTGAGCTGCTGTCCTGGTCAGCGCCTGTGCTAACAGGCCCCTGCCTAAAGGTACTGAACTACAGCTCCAAACACCTGCAGCAAACTCTCCGTTTCCTTCCCTTTTTGTGGTAAGATATTTGAAGAACTTCTTTGAAAAACTCCTCTGTAAGAACTTACTTCTATTTAATCTGTATTTGTCATAAAACACTGACTGTGGGCAGCTCAGTGAGAAAGATTACCCTGTGTAGAAGTTGAACTACCACTTGCTCGGAATTTTAGTTGTTCACTCGTAATAATCTACATCAGTAGATCAAAAATCCACTCAAATTAATCTAAATCAGCAGTAGTGATAAAAACAATGGAGGCTGTTATCACAAAGTAAATTATGCCTTATCTCTCCAGGTAGTATTAGTATCTCAAAGTTATGATTCATCACTTAAATTTTATTAGTAATAATGAGTACAAAAGGCTTATGCCTACAAGCTGCTGGAAGTCCCACATGCAACAGGGCTGTTGGAGGGGAAATTCAATCCCTGCTTGGAAATGTCTGCAATTCTGTGAAGCAGTGGGCAAAGCACAGGATCTATAGAACATAGCACTTTTGAGAATAGTTTGGTTTGCATGCATTTTAATTAGAGCACATTAGGGTGGAATTTAGAAGTAAAAAATGCAGCAAGGAGGTGAGACACAGGAAAGGTTTTGCCCAGCCTTTCCCTCCTCAGTCACAGAACTGAACTGTGCAGACTGTGAGGATTGGTGCAGCATAAGAGGCAAAGCAGATGTCTAGATTTCATCGAGGCTCTGTGACCTTGCCAGGTTTACTTTTTGGTCAGTGACCATTTCACAACAAGGAAGCTTTGGGGTTGCCAGTGCAGCAGCTGACTGCAGAATGGCTGGGGTCACAAGTGTTTCACTCAGCTGCACTCCAAACACCACATAACAACGTTTCTGACAGCGTTCCCTTCTGGCTGGGAGTTCAAATATTAGCACTGCTATCCATCATGGTGCTAAGGAACTCCTCATCCATGGGAAGGATCCTGCCAAAAGGAGTGTGGCAGCAGGTGACAGGAGCACTGGAGGAGTGACAGCACGTCAGGAGTTCAGTACACAGAGGCAGGTTTACAGCACTACAAACACAAATAGGTTTGTAAATGGTCACGAATTTCAGTAGGGCAATTAAACAGAAGATCTCAGGTTTATAAACTAAACATTTCAGAGCAGTTAAACAAGGCGTAAACAACTATAAAAATATATTAAATAGGAAATTTAAATTTGGACAATTTAATTGCCCAAGTGTACTGGAGAGCAAAGTGTCTTCCCTATTTAATCACTGCATTTGATCAGTCTGTGTAACATACCCAGATTTATTAGGTCTTCAGCAAGACACCAGGTTTTGTATCTGATGTTTTCCATTCCAGAGACAGTGAGATCCAGTACCTACTGTGTCTTCAGCTGGCACAAAGCTTGAACAAGAATCCTGGAATGTTCACTTACATGTGAACCAAAGCCAGGACTGCATCCTTGGAATGGGGAAGGTGAGATCCAGGCAGGAGAACTGCAGAGTGGAGAGCACATGGACAAGCAAGCTGGCCCAGGTACAGTGCAAAGCAGCACAGAAATGCAACTTGAGTCTAACAGAATAGTTCACAACTAGCAGACATGTTGCTGTAAAACAGTCCAAACTGAATTTACATGAAGTAAATTTAATTCATGAAGTAACAATCACTGAAATTTGCTAATTACCCTCTTAAAAACATCAGGAACACCAAGGAATCAGAACATCCTCTCCTGTGCTGACACACATTCCACTATATCCTACATTATCCTATTTTCAAGAGGCTCTTGATGTTGAAAATTCCTTTGGCAACCCTAGTGTTCCCTACAATTCACTGTTAGAAGATCTGAGTAAGAGCAGCCAAGTTTCTGTTCAATTCTCTCTTACCTTTTACATTAAGAAGTTACATGCAGGCATCCTTTGCAGCATTAATGAATTTGGTGATTAACATGCAATGCTGAGTATCAGGAACTGACCAAGTTCCATTTGTTTCCATCTGTTCTTTACTCTGTGAAATCTGCAGGTACTCTTTCTTCCTCCAGCACTTCCACATCCATTAGCCCAGGTCTGGAGGGTCCTTACACACTGTGGTTACATAGCAGCTGTTCAGTTTGGGAAGCAAGACCTTGTCACAAACAGCTTTTCCCTCAAAAAAGTACCACTATGGTATCTTTTCATCTTATTTTCACCATGTTCACTAGGTACACAAATTGATTTAAAAAATCCCCAACCTTACTATGAAACAAAAAGCAGTTTCTAAGCAAGTGCTATTTTTAGAAAAGCAGTAAAGCTGGCCTCAGTAGTTTTAAGTTATTTTAAGAAACTAGATATAAGACACTTAAAATTGCTTTCCCTGACAGCTCTTTCATTTTCAGCCCTTGACACAAGTACTAAACAGTAGATGCAAATAAATCAGTTTCTCAGGTAATTTTGCAACCTACATCTTAGTCTCACTGCTTTAAGGCTCTCCCTTAACAGATGACACAATCACCAATCACTACCAACACTACTTCGAGGCTAATACACCAACTCACATAAATGTGCACAGGCATTGAAAGTGAAAAGAGATTTACTTCAGGTGATTCATCAGCTTGTTCACATATTGCAAAATTTTTCCTTTTTATTTAACAAGGGACAATATGGTGTCAGAAATTAATGCTCCAGCTATTTTGTCCAAACAATTACTTCATTCTGTTTTTTTAACACGTGTATCTTTTTCTGGTGTACATTCCAGCCAAGAGCCATCTGATGTTTCCCTCTGTGGGATGTGAAATAGAAAACACTGGTGTACCTTTATTGTGGAATTTCTCAGAGCTGCCTTGTAACCATCCCCCCTAACCCAGAAGTTTCATGAGCCTCATCCCATTTCACTGGCAGCACACGGAGGAGCAGGATGCACCTGCAGTCCTGGAGCACATGATACTTCCTTGAGCTGAAGGTTCCAAGCTGGCACAGTTCCCAGAGAACACTTCCCATAACAACTGGCTGCTGTTTTCCAGCTCCCTTTACGAGCAGCCAGAGATTCCCCAACACATCCAGAAATGCTACTCTGGAGTAACCTGAAACAATTTGTACAATTTGGATGGTGGGGAGGGGGAAATTGTCTGCATATTCTAGAAATTAATAAAGAAACTGAAGTGAAAAATATTCAAAATGTATGAATAAACCCTTTCAGTAAATGAAATTCACAAGTTTATACTTGTTAGGAAGCATTTAACCAGAAGTAGCTGGTAATTAGTCCATTACAGGAATTTTTTATCACAAATAACCATTCAGTGAACTTGTATCACATGGTAATTCTAGCTATCATGCTGACCCTTTTGACTCAAAATTGTTTTTTAAAAGTTATGGTATATGCCAATATTTTTAAGCTTAATAGCAGGTATCTATCTCCAAGATAGACTTATCTGTAAAAAACATTCTGAGCTGTATAAACCAGTAAAAGCAAGTGCTCCTTCAGCAGTTTAAGTCTGCTCTCAGACAGCCTTTTATAATTTCCTAGATTATTAAGAAAAATGCCTTTTTTTTTGGAAAGGACTCAAATTACTTGAAACATTTATTTGAAAGCTAAATGTCTGTCAAATATTAGGCATTTGTAATGTTACTTCTGGTACAAGCTACTATGTTTTAGAAGTAAAAATTGCAGCTGAAGTTTCAGGAAAAATGTCAGTTTACCATGATTATATAATACCTGACCAGACAACTTCTGATTTGTTTGGTGCTTTAAATACAGCCACTAGATTATGCTGACAGCCATACAAAATGAACTTGCACTTTAACCCACAGCAGTAATATTGAGACTGTGAACAGCTACAAAATGCAGCATTTGCATTTTCAGTGCCATACCAAGTGGAATTCAGAACCACCTAAAGACAAAGCAGCAGCTGGTTAAAAAAAGAAAACATAAGTCAAATTATAAAGCTACATAGTTTAGTACATTAAAACAAAACCATGGACAATGGTATTTGTATAAGATTCCAAAAATATACAGATGGCAGGGGGGGAATAATCACTGTACACAACTCTGAGGTGGTTAAAGTGACCAGAGAGACTGAACAGTGCAAGACATGCTTTTCCAGTTACAAGCTCAAAACAGAAGTGCAAAAGAAATTAAAGCTCTGTCTGAAGTGATTTACCTTTTAGGATAAGGAAAGCTTAGAATATTGTCATCAGTGTTACAGAGAAATTTCCACCCCAACCCCAACACAGACACACAAAATAGTTTAAGTTTGACCATAATACAGCATTTCACTCAAATGATGTCCCCAGAGCTTGGTGACTCCAGGGACAGTCTGCAGGTGTTCGGTGTTGGCCCATGGCCCAGGTGATGCACAGGCAGCCTCTCCACTCTCCAGCTTTGGCTAACAATAGATCCCTGCCCTCCAGGCAGGGCGGGTGGCAGCCACACAGCCCGGGCTCAAGCCTCCTGCCTCCCCAGACCGTGCTGAAAGCAGAGACTGACTTATGGCTGAGGAACAAAGGAATTGCTTGACAGGTCTCTGTGCTCTCTCCCAGAGTTTGGAACAGTTTCAGGCAAGTGCTTTTGGCAGGCTGACTAAGCTGTACATGCATCTATCCATGCAAATGTAGAATATGGCTCCCAAGACCTAGAACCAGGGTGTGTGCATGTGAAGACTGGATAGAAGGCCCTTCCGTGGAAGTTTACAAAAATATATAGCCAATACTGTAGCTTAAGAAGTCAGTTTTACTCGTTACAGAGAACCCCAAAAAGTATTAACTACTTTTCAGACATTCCAGACAAGGTCACTTGTAACAAAAAAGGTCAAGTTCTCAAAAACAAGGTTTTAAAAGCGGATCTTTCCTTCAAGTGAACAGGACATCTGTTTTTACTCTTAACCATTTAGTCAGTTAAGACAATTTATTTAAGATTTCATGTGAACATATGCATAAACACAAATAAGTTTACTTTAAAACACATCTGCACAAAAAAAAAAGGTTAACCCTTCAAAACATAACAGAGCAGGTCTGGTTAGTATGTAGCTATTGCAAATCTTAAAGATTCTGTGCATTAGGCCCACCCATATAGAAAGCAGGGGAAAAGTCAATGAAAGAAAATCACTGTTCAAGTCTAAGTGGTGTTTTGAAGAGCCAGCAGCCTAAGTGACACCATGAAGCTGGTCACAGTACCCACACAAGCAGGCCTGCTTGGGCTACTAGAGCAGTGTATCCTCCTGAAGGCGCCATTTCCTCCCCAGTTATTTTCTGTTCCGAAGGCGTTTAGATTTCCTAGGACAGTCTGTGGAATCCACCGCCTTCCTCCTTTTCCTGGGAGATTGTTCATTTGAGCCGGAACCTGAAGAATTCCCTACTGTGCTCTCCATCACCTCCCGCAGCTTGCGCTCCAGCTCGGCCAAGCGGGCGTTCTGTTCCCCAATGATTTGGGTTTGCTCAAGCAGTTTCTGGTCTTGATCCTGGAGCTGCTTCTGCTGCTCCTGCACCTTGACGCGCAGCTCCGAGATCTCCCGCTTCAGCGCCGTCAGGCCCGTGCCGTTGGCTTTCACCTGCTGCTGCAGCTTGGTGACCTCCTGCCTGGAAGGACTCTGCTTGGAGAACAGCTGCATTGTGGTCAGTGCTGCAGAAGGCCCTGGAACTTCAGAGAGAACTGTGATTAATACTCTGCAACTTACGGGTAGAAATGGTCTCCCAGTGTTTGTATTTTGCTTATCCCTACTCCCCACACGTGAATCTGAATACCCATGGTAAGTTACGTGAACAGGCAAACACATTCACAGTCACTTAAGTGTAATCTCAGAGCACAACCAGTTTAATTTAAAATACTTACAGCTTTTCAGTAGTCAGGAAAAAAGTTCATAATTTATTTTCTGTATATAAGCCCCCCTCCTTTTGCTGCATCAAAAACTGTAGAACTACTGTGTTGTCATCTAGACTTAGTGTCACAGATCACTCTGTGACAAAAACATCTCTGAATTACTTAATATGGGATAGTTAAGACTGAATAAATATATTTCATTAGACCAGCAAAATTCTGCTGTCTTAGCTGCAGCTAAAGCTCTAAAAAATTGTAGTTTGGAACTTAACAAGGTATTTCGGTATAACTTACATTTTAGAAGAAAGGAATTTATTTTCCATGCTTCTTTAGAATCACTCCTCCTAAGCACTAAAACCATACTGGAATCTGAGCTTGGAACTGTTGATTCTAATAAAGTTCCTGCAAATCAAGGAGACTAACAGCTACTGTATAATTTCTTTCACTTTTTCTGCCATAAAAGGTATCTATCACTTTTTCTGTCATTACAGTCTTCTAGCAACGCTGTGCAATTAAGTGCAACTTTAAGTGCTCTCCAGACAGAAGAGTCTGGAACAGTCATCCTCCTTTTCCTCCTTTTTTTCCATTAGGATGGCAGCACAGCTACCATCATTATGTGACACTAAGGGGTTGCTATTGGAGAGGTTATGCCCTTCCCTCAACAAGAGAGAGGCATTTTATGCACCACAAAGCCTTGGCCTTGAAAAGTTGATTGATATCAACTGTGGGTTTGGGCAATACTTCCTCAGCTGAGAGGCTCAGTATATACTAACACATATAATTTAAAAAAATTTAAACCTATATATAATTTAAAAAAGGTATATAATTATAAAAATTCAAATACAACTAGCAGGATGTACTAAAGGTGGCATACACACTTATGGCTAAAAGGATGGACAGGACATACAAGAAACAAAAGTATCTGCAGTTAGGCCTATTGTTTTTACTTAAGATATATATTTTTTCCCCCCAGTTTTTACTAAGTTATCCTTCTAGAGAGTTAAATTTCAGTTCCTAAAATGTGAACACATCATGTATAGGAAAAATTCTACAATTTTACCAATCTTTTACCATTAGGATAACTTCAGCCAAGAGGCAGCTATCTTATAGTTTGGTTCACAAAAGTTCTGGAAAGTCTGAGAGTATTCAAAGGACCAGTTTAATGGCTTATTTACAGACTGTTATTTTAATTTCCTTTTCACTATTACCTGTAACTATTTTCCTTGTTAGTGGATAAAATAGTACCCCCAGTAAAGTAAAAAAAGCCCACTCCAGCCCTCTATGTACTACCACAGCTTAGTCAAATTCATTTGCAGCTTGTCCTAAAAATAAAAGGCATCGAGTTCTCATCTCATGTGCCAAATTTCAACCAAATGCAGCAATAAAGTCTCATTCATTGGTGGCACAAAAGCATTTGTTTAACGAACACACACTATGCATAATTCTAACATACATTCAAGTGACTGTTCTTTTAGTAGTACAAAGGCTCCTTAAATTTCAAAGCAAATGAATTTCAGTTAGCATTCTTAAGAAACAAGTATCATCAATATTTATGTAATAAAGCTCCCATTTAAGGGAGGGAGCATAGAAAACATACAGTGCTGTGATTTCTTTAAAGAACAACTAAATAAAAGTTAACTATATGTTGGAATTAATACCTGGGGCAGTTCCTATTAGACGTCCCGATACATCTGACCCAGGCATCTTTCTTTTCAGTATTGGAACAATCTTCTCATCAAAATATTCCATAGCCATGGAGGAAATGTCCCTTAGTTCTTGAAGAACTTCATGAGCTCTCTGAGGAGCTCTTGTAGAGTTTACATATCTTAGCACTCGATAAATTTCATCTATTACCTAAAACATTTAAGAAGAATTAGGATTTTCTGATAAAGGCAAGATTATTTCAGTTTGTTCTAGGAATTCTGGCATATTTAGGGTTTTTTTACCACATAACAGTTGCACACCACTGTGTGTTTTAGTTCCAGATCAGTTTTTTGAAGTGTTGCTCATGATGTATCAGAGAAGCTATTCATTTAATCTATCACAACAGCTCTCTTCAAAGTCATGAAATAATGCTCATTAGGTAAAATTTGAAGTACAGTCATAGCTGGCTTGCAAGTTACATAATCTCTACTCAGCAGAGCATGATCATTTCTTTCAGGAAAACCTGAAGCAAGAAGCCCTAAAGCAGAGCAGTCACTACCCCTGCCAGTCATGAAACAGAATTGGAGTAGCACGAATTAGCATTATGTCAGCCTGAAGAGCTGTAAATATTTACTTGAGTCCATTTCCATACACACAAAATATTGCAAATTCAGATTAAGTCCAAAATATATTCATTTGCAAAGCATCAATTCACTATTGACAGAGAACAAAACTCTCTTGACAGGTATGGAAAACAAAGCCCTTGAGTTAGGAGAGATACAGAGAGATGAAGGGAGTCTTACTAATTTATGAATTAAAATCTGAGGCAGGTCAAGATAGGAGTGCTGGTCTCTTAGCCAAAGCTATGCAGGTATTTTGCACAGGATTAAGAATGTTTGAAGAACACACATAATAAAGTGTGTGAAGAACACACCTTGTCATACAGAGCACCTTCTGTTCTGATAAAGGAAGCTTAGCTAAAAAGTCCCAAAAGCCAGACAAGACCTAAGTTTCTCATCAAACAACAAATGACTGCTCTAATTTCATCCACTTTATATCCTGTTAGCAACAACATCCTCAATATAAAACCTTGCAGCAGTGCTCTGCTATCACACAGAAAGCTGAACCTCAAACCAGGATTTGCATATTCTAACACAAATTCACTTCCTGGCAGTTCTAAGGTGAAACTTCCTGAGGAAAGCAAAGCAGGTGGGAGGGAAACCACAGACTGTAAGTGAACACTAAGCCTTGAATCTGATTGACCAAAATATTAATTAATGGGTGAACTGGTAACTGTGCTGAGAGAGCAGCAGTGCTAGCAAACTCACACACCAAGTAAATAATTAAAAAAAAAAACCTAAAAACCAAAACCAGGTTTTTAGCAGTTGTATCAAAATAAAATCGAGGTGCTTACAAGTTGGTGTCCACAAGGAAAAGCAAGCTCACCTGCCCAACCCCTGGTCTGGGATGAGTACTGCCTTTCCCTCTGCTCTTCAGAACAGTAAAGCAACATTTTTTTTTAAAGTATCCCATTTACCATATAAGTATCAGGCTTAAGTTCATTTGACTTCATTGTATTACATTGTATTAATTTTTAAAAAATACATTGTATATAAAAGTATAACATAAAGTCATCCAAGAATATAATTTAAAATGAATTAAATATCAAGTCAACAAGAGTAACAGAAATAGTTACTTCTTCCAGATAAGAATACATTCCACACTCAAGAGTTTAGCCTACCACAAAGTGCCTGCATGCTTCCCCAGAATCCAAGAGGTAACTTTTCCATTCATCTCACTGCAATTCACTTCTCTGCCCACAAAAAAGTAACATCAACATATCCAAAGCTTACATGGGAAGATCAATGAATGGAGCATTAGGATAATGTTCACTGATCTCATTTAATCCCTGAGCTGTAGCAGTCTTCCTCTGAGCACAATTTTGTCAATTCCCCTGTGCACTGGTGATTTCACAGCTTATAAAACATCGCTATCTCCAATGTACATCTTGCCTGCATAATTTATATTTAATGCTGGGCTGGTATTCTAAAATGCCAGAACTGTTCAATGATGTTCCCTTTTAACACACTTTACATTTAAAACTAATTCCACCTACTGCACAAAAATATACCATCCACTGTAACACTGAACAGTGTTTTGACATACTAAATACTTTAATTCAATTAACCTGAAGTACTCAAACCCTTAAGAAGGTGCCTAAAATCATGATTGACTGAGTACCTAGTGTTATGTGTAATCTAAATTACTACATCTTCAGATGGCCTGATCACATGCTTTTTTCTAAAAGGTTGTAGAAGATGAGTATGCCACAAGTCAAACATCAGAATCAAGAGAGAATCTAAGGGCAAATAGAAATCTAATTTAAAATAATTAATATTTAAATACAGCCTGGTTTATTCATTTCAGACTGCCTGGTAAAACAGAGAATTGGCTTGTAGGTTTATTTGCAAGTGTGTATATAAATATTTAAAAATATATATAAATATATATACACACACACAGTATCAATTTTCCCCAGCTGTGCCAGGTTAAGTTACACAATCCTATCTTTTAAACACAGATACATATTCCCATAATATATCTGCATTTTACCTTTCCAGGTATGAAGCAACAGAGATTGGAATCCACATACTTCATGAAAGTCATATTTAGGAGAGAGAGTCTTGTTTCCACAGCAGCAAGGATGTCTGCATGGCGAGCTAATGAATGGTTTCTCCTTTCTGACTCCCGTCTGGAAAACAGACCACAAGGTGACACTGATTTAACAAAAAAATCCAACTGGAACATTTGTCAAGTTAATTTCACCCTTAAAACCCTGTAACCACTAACATTTGTCTTCACAGAAATAATAGATACTGAGACCCAGCTAGTAACAGCATACTACACTTTCTTAGACAAAATTTGTTCTTTAAGTAATTACTATACCTCATGTGCTCCATAAATTATGTAATTGAGGACTATTTAAGAACAAGGCTGTAGTACTAACTAGCAGCAGCCACTGAGTCAGAGTGAATATATTTATCCCACTCACTCTCAGCACTTCAATGCAATTGAAATAATAATTAGTAGTGAAGTTTACATAGTGAAGAACTACTATGAAGTTTAGGTTGAGATAGAAACACTTTTTGATAAAGGATCTCTATGCTAAGTAGCATTTACTTTCTTCACTCTGACTGGGAAATCTGATAGGACACAGCAGCAGCTGCACTTATTCACTGGAAAGAGGAAGAAAGATATTGCTTTAGTGAGAAATCAGTTCCCAGTAATGCTCACATGTCAAATCCCTCTTCCTTGTTCCCATTTCATCCTTGCCAGTGAAAAACCTCATCCTTTTTTTAAAGCAGAATATTTGATAAATCATCAGTGAAGGCAGTTGTTCTTGAAAAGGAATGGCATTTATTCATTCCCAGGAATCCTCCTTTGATTTGTCAGAAGAGTTGAGTAATACAGAACCCAGACTTCTCTGTTTGAAATACCAGACACATTTCTCACACCACTATATTCTGTAATTAAATCTTAGGTTCAAGGTGCTTTTAGGAAAAAAAACCCCACTAAATAAACACAAATATCAAGATAGATAAAAGAATTAGCCAGAAAGTAATTCCTTTTCAATAATCTGCTTAAATGAATCCAGTACAATTAAATTTAATTCCAGTTTTAACTGGTACATACCTTGGAAGTTGAGCTTTAACTTGCTTTTGACACAAGTTGTGGTATCTTTCCACTTTCAGAAATCCCTGATTTAACATTCTCTGGCAAACCAAGTCCATTCGCTTACAAACCTGTATTTAAGTAAAAAGAAATCTTAAGGCTCAATTAAGGCCACAACTCACTTTTACTATTAACTAATCCCTACTTGCCAGGTAGCAAGAGATTCTCTTACTGTTTTTTGCTCCATTTCAACAAGCAAAAAGTGCAGCTGAGATTAAGGCATTCCCATCTCCACCAAAGATCACAATACTCCAAAAAGGAGCAGCAATGCTTCACACAGTTCACAAATAAATCTGTTGATTTTGCCTAACAAGAGACAGTAGGCTGACTGCCATCTATTAGAAGCAAATACAATTTCCTCTGATTTTAATGGAAGTTGCAAATGCCCATGCCTGGCTTTCAGCATGGTCTCCAGTGTGATTTCAGTAGATGAAGTTACTATTTTGTAGTGTCAAAAACAGAAACCTTTAAAGACAAGAAATCACTGTGGTTTTCTTCCAGTGTTTAAGGCTTATGCTTTTTAACTCAAGCACAATTAAATTTAAAAACACATGGAAAGCATTGCACATGGAACAAGATTCTCCTTTTTGTATAACAAAGTATCTTCTCCTCGGTTTAAAAGATTCCTTTATTTGCTGTTGGACACCAGTAGCTCAGGGGATTTTTCCCCCACAGATTTAGGAAGAAAGGACATGAAGAGCTGCAGAAGATATAATAAACTGCTAAAGTTAAACCTTCACAAAGTTACCAGTTATAAAGCCAACTCATACAAATGTTTAAAGCAATTGCTATTCAATTCTGAAGACACAAGAGCTTAGTGACCCAACTGTTCTTTGAAATAGTTTTGTTTTCGTTGGGATTTTTTAGGTACTGAAGTCCACAGCTCCCACTGTGACCCCACTTGCCAATAAATACACTTTCTATTTTTTAAAACACTTATTCTTTCATAACTTTAAAGCCTATATCAGTTTATACCTTGAGGATCTGTGACCCCACTTACCAATAAATACACTTTCTATTTTTTAATAAACACTTATTCTTTCATAACTTTAAAGCCTATATCAGTTTATACCTCGAGGAAGAAGATTCTCACCTCTCCCAGAAAAACCTGCAATTACTTTGTGTAATGCCTCCTGCATAAAAAGAAAGAAGTTCTGCTTTGTGTCCCAGGTTCTGTGAGAAGTGACCACTTTCAGACAGCTCTGTATGCACAGGCCATTAGCAGTGACTGTGGATCTGAATGTGCTCCTCGGTATTACATCTTTCTGGTTAACAAAGAAGGATCAGACAGACAAACGGCAGAGGGAGAGTCTCAGCACACTCTGCCCCACATTCAGTGATCCAGTTGAATCATCTCCTGTGTATAAGGAAAAATGCCGGCCCTTCCTACAGGAAGGAGGAAATGGTTCTTTCTTCCCTGAGCTCGTAGGAGATTTAAATCGTTTTTGAGTCAAGGCTTTGCAGCTTTCTCGCAGCTCTAAAGGCACCGGATCCCTGAAGCAGGAACTGGGAGCTGCACGGGGCTGCTCAGCTCTGCAGTCCCCGGGCACCAGAGGAAAACCTCTCCAGGCGCGCTCAGCTCCGCGCTCGGAGCGGGTCTGAACCTGGCGCGCAGTGACATCTGCCGGCAGAGAGGCCCCAGGAGCTGCAGCTGGGGTTTAACCTGCCTCCTCTGCTTGCCCTACACTGCAGCAAGGATTATTTGCTCCAGTTTCTCGACATTACCCATATTTAGTCAATAATCTGCCCAGAACCCAAACTGCGGGACCACCAGAAATCAAAAGTGTTTGTTTGCAACTTATGTTACCAATAACCTCGTAATTCTCAGCTAGTTCACCATGTAAACCATAGAGCACCCAGATTTACAGGAACAATGTATCTCTTCTAGACTGCAAAGTTGTATGCAAAGTAGCTTCATTACACTTTTAGGTGTCCATAGCTGTCCAAGACAGTTTGATATTACGTATTCTAACAGACCATAAATTGAATTTCCTTATCCTTGTATTTGCAATATTGGTGAATGTTTTCTTATTTCAGTCACAGAGCTGAAAGAGGCTGTGTTTCCCCAAAGGTCAAGTCCAACCAGACCCTGTGTTAAAGTTTCAGGGTTAGAAAGGTATTCCAAATCCATGTAAAAAGCAGAAGGAGAGGTTGCTTCTTCATGTGCTTTTATGTGACAAAATATCACATAAAAGCTTTCTATGATCCTATAAACTAATTTTCCACTTCTTTTGTAAACAAACTGACACAATCTACTAATTTCCTTAAAAAGCATGTTTTATTTCTTCCAAGCTTCACTACCAGATAACCAACTCCAAAACAAATACAAAATATCCTAGAGTATTTAGATTCAATGGATGTTATTTTTCTTAGATGGTACACTGACACCACGGTCCATAAAATGCCTTTTTTAGGGTAAAGTAAGTGGCAAAATGCTTATAACTTCATCAAGAAACCTTAAAACAGAAATGCCTGTAAACACAGACTGGCTGAAACTGGGAATATCAAAGCCATGCTGTCCAAAGGCTATCAGTCCTTACTTGTGTTGTGCAGGAAATAAGCACAAGTTTACTGCAGAATCTAATTAATTCTGACTTGTGGCAGAATCCAAGATAACCTTCTCAGAGTGCTCATGGAAGGAGGTTGTGGACTGTGTAATTTTGATCATGCATGTTGTAGTAATAGCCTGAATGGAAGTGCCTTTCCAAGCTCAGACATATGACTGAGAAAAAACCCTGGAATCTAAGAATTTCATTATTATCCCACTGAGGTAAAAATTTCAAAGCTTCTGCAAGTCACTAAAAACATCCCTGTAAAAGGAGCCTTCAAAAGCTGGAACTTAGTGAGCTTCCCTGTCAGCATGCACAGTACAGCTTCAGACATTGGCATCCTCGGGGTTTTCTGGGTTTCTCTCATGGGGATCATCAGAGGAAGTAGATGAAGTAAATACTCAAAAGGGCTGAAAGCAAAATGCTGCTGCTTTTCCTCTCATTCACTTTGTCTGAACAAAAGTTTGAGGGCTGAAGATTTCCCCCATTTCAGACATGACTGCTCTCTGAATACCTATTGTTTAGTCTCTGCTCCTTGGATCTACTTCACTGCTTAACCTGTAGGTGCTTCATTTATGCTTTCACACACAGTGACCCCAGGAATAGCAGAAAGCATTATGCTCAGGAAGGCAAGTGCTTTTTGCACAATGAGGGGCCCACAGCCTTGCCTTGTCTGATGGCAATCATCACAAGCAGGAAATGTTCTTTACCTCATCCTTTGGGGACAGAAAAGACTTCTGGATCTTATGCCTGAGATTATGCTCCTCATTATGCTCTACATAAACAATGCACATTGCTATCTCCATTTCAATCTGAAAACATTCTGGTGCTCTATGTCCTCCCACCCAGCCAACTCCTCAGTCTGTTGTTTTGTATACACTGCAGATCCAAACCCAGTTCAATTCAGGGACTTTTTTTTTTTTATGGATCACTGAGCTAAGGAGATCCAAAATAAAAAGCACATTAAGACATTCCTTCCAGGCTGGGATCCAGAAAATGCATAAAAATTATTGGTTTAGCAAATCCACATTTTTTTGTCTAAACATGTATGATCAAACTTTGTTTAGGTCAATTGATGTCCTGGGTTTTCCTGCCTTCCTCAAGACACTTTATCCCATGGAATCCCACATTCTAAGGGATAATGAGGCTGCTTTTGGGCATGTTTCTAATATGCATGAGACCTGAGCAATTTCATATCTGTCATTCAATTAATGTGCTCCTGCAATGTATCTTTAGCACAACACTACTTATCGTAAGATACACTCATTCATCTTTGATAAGCAGCTCAAGTCAGTCCTCACAGAAAACAAAAATTTACTGCTTGTGCAGGGCAGCTCTTAGAGCAGGAACATGCAGGTTGTGCCAAAGACTACTCACCACCTTTAAAAATCCCAAAGTAATGAAGTTTAATTCTGAATTTATGCCTGGGCACTAGTATTTTTAAAGGCTACCTTAATTCTCTGACAAAAGCACGTGGAGCTATAAAGAACATTCAGTGTCTGCCTCTCAGTGAACTGCCAAAAGAACACCTTCAGCTCTGAACAGCCACCTGAAAGACCCAGCTGATCAAGCTTATGGGCTCAAACCAGAAAGGCTTTGGTTCTTTACATTACTGCTGGTTAACAAAAGGCTGCTTTCTTCTCAGAAGAATGCTCTTAATGCCTTCTGATGTGCTTAAGGGAACAGTTAGGAATTTGATGGAGATTAATTTCCTTGGCTGCCACTGACTCAAAAACTCAAAGTAGGGAAAGACCAACCAAATAGTTTCCTTCATTTTACGCCCAGTATTGTTCTACATATGTTTCAAAGTTGGTATTTATCACATCTGGTTTTGCATATTTCTGAAAGTTCGGAAAGGGGCAGTCCTCTTCTAGAAAAAGGAACTTGGAGGTGTGTCAGTTTTACTTCCTAAGTGCCAGTGAGAGTTAAACAGCTGGTTTAGTCCTGACATCCTCACCTTTCCTACTCTCACCTTCACTGCCAACAGAGCATGACAAACACTTAGAGCTGGAGAAAGAAAAAGCCTCCTGTGGACTTGTGAGAGCTCCCACAGGCACTACCATTCACAAAATGCAAGGGAAAGCTGCAGCCACGGGGTGTGCCTGGCGTTGCAACCCTGAGCCTGAAATGCGGCACATCCAAACACCATGGGATTTACATCCCTTCCCAGTGGTCAAACTGCAAGTACCACCTGTGATCTTGGGCATGTCCTGTGCAGGGCCAGGACTGGACTTCTGTGATCCTCGTGGCTCACTCCTAACTCAGGCTGTTCTGTGGTTCTCAAGTACCACATCTTTTTTACAGATCCACTACCTACTCTCACAGAAGAAGCTGAAGTCCTCAGGGGACTGACAGCACACTCTAGCAATATTTAGGAACTGGTGTGCTTGGAGCAGTATAAATGAGAACAGATTTTCTGCTTGAAGAGCTTTTGGTTTATAGTTACAGTCAGGATGCAACACTTCAGGTTACTGATCCAGGACACAGGCAGTCCAATTTCCTGCAGAAATACACTTGTAATATTATCCAGTTTAGACTAATCAAGTTCTTAAAATAGGAATGGTACAGTGCATGCACGTTTACTGAGTTACATAAGCTGTGCATCAATGCCCTCACTATTATTCCATTTACAAACTCATGAGAGGTTCAGTAAGACAGCTTATCATAATATGACATGGTTTACATCAGGCTCCTTATGCAGGCAGTTAAATATTGATATACATTGATCTCCTCACTGACAGCTGCAGGGTTTTGGCATTATCAAGTCCAGAGGTGCAGATACTATATGTTATTAATTACACATCCACTAAGACCGGGAGAAGCAGGCAGGTTTTTTTGGTTTTTTTGGGGTATTTTTACATCTCCTTTTTTGACCCACATTTCTAGACAGGGGAGTATTCTTGGAGCAGCAGGCTCACCACCTCCTACACTTGTAGGCTTAAACCCTATAAGCAAAAATAAACACACATATGAGACACAATAGACTACCCACCCCAACCAGTCACTAGGAGAAATGAGCCGCCAGCAGCCCGGTGCTTTCTCACAGAGCGTGAAAGGAATGAAAGAAGTCAGAGACGGTATAAAGCGCTGCAGGAATGCGTGTATGGAAGCGCACACGGAGAGCGCAGAAGGGATAAAGCCCCATCCCACCCCACTCATCCAGCCCCTTCCCCGGCGAGCGCAGCAGCCCGGCGGGGGCCGCCGCCACCCCCGCAGCTGCCCCGGGCCAGGCGGGCAGAGCCCGGTCCCGGCCGCGGCCCCGCGGCCCCCGCCCCGCCGCCTCCCCTCCGCGGCCCCTACCAAGCGCAGCTGGCTCGTCTCATCGTAGGACAGGAAGCTGAGGATGCTCTCGATAGCCACGATGGGCAGCCCCATGAGCGTGTTGCTCTGAGGCGGCGGCTCCATGGGCGCCAGCGGCTCGGCGGCCTCCGGCAGCGGGGCCGGGGAGAGCCGCGCCGAGCCCGGGGCGCCGCCTTCGCCCTCCGACACGAGCCGCTCCTCCGGCGCCGCCATCTTGCAGCCCGTCCTTCCTCCGCGGGGGGACGGCACCGCCTCTCTGTGACGCCTCTTCCGCAGCCGTCACGGCGGGCCGGCCCCGCTATTCCCGCAGGGAGCGGGGGAAATGGAATCCCCGCTGCTGCTGCGGTGCCCCAGGGTTTGCGTCGCTACCGCTGCCCGCAGAGCCGTTCGAGGCATGGTGTCCGACACTTGTCGGTGGTGCCCGGAGACAGGACGAGGAGCAAGGGCCGTAGGCTAAAGCCCGAGAAGTTCGCCAACCCGAGGAGAATTTTTCGAGTAGAGGTGGCAGAGCAGCTGGAACAGCTGCCCAGGGAGGTTGTGGAGTCTCCCTCCCTGGAGACACTCAGACCCCACCTGGGCGCGTTCCTGTGTCACCTGCTCCAGGTGACTCTGCCTTGGCAGGCGGTTGGGCTGGTCATCTCCAAAGGTCCCTTCCGACCCCAATGGTTCTGTGACTCCCGTGAGGAGTTTCCCTGACACCCAACCTGAACTTCCCCCGAGGCGGCTTGAGAGCATCCCCTCGTGTTCTGGGCTGGAGGCCGGAGAGAAGGGATGAGCTCCAGCCGGAGAGAAGGGATGAGCGCCTCCCTGTCCATGCCCCTCTGTGGGAAGGAGCTCCCAAAGCTCCGTGGGTGCTGCAGTGCTCGGCAGTGCTCCTCCGTCCAACAGCACAGGGACCTACCGGGAGAATGTGCTTGGATCACAGCGAGGCAGCTGCACGGTGGAAAATACCTCTGTAGTTCCTAAGCGAGCCAAAACTACATCCTCATTACAAAGTAATCCAACCTGCTGAATTTTACCTATGGATTTGCGAGCACCCCCTTCAGTGGTTGGTGTCCGAGCTGTCCCTACTCTGGTGGCACAGGGAGCCACAGCAGCCAGAGGCTGCAGGTCTGCTGCCAGCCTTTGGGATCAGAGCCAGCTGGCAAAACCCTCGGCAGCCCGAAAACCACTGCCTGGAACCAGCCATAACTGAGCAGGCGGAATACCCAGGATAAAGCAAACTCTGCTCCTTTATTTGCCCTTTATCCTGTATGTTAGGGAGGTTTCTGCAGCAGATTGCTGGGACCAAGAGCTGTTTCTAGAACATTCCCTGGTGCTTCTGAAAGAGATGCTCCTCAGTTTCACAAGCATTTTAGCCTGATAGAAGTTGGCACAGCCTTTGAAAAGTATGGTGCCAGTCTCCTCAGTGCCTTCAGCTGCTGCTGCTGCTTTGTTTCTCACCAGCAGCGTTGGGTGTCTGTGCTTGACTGGGGAACTGGTGCTGCTCAACACTGACTGCAGAGGAAATCACTGAACAAATGCCAAGAGTGATGGTAGAAAAGTGTGTGGGATAAAGATATCAAATGTTTGGGGAGAACGAGACCACTGCTTTCAGTACCTGCACCAAGGTAGTACAGCTTAAAATATTACAGGACTAAAGAATTAGCTGCCTGCACCAAGGTAGTACAGCTTAAAATATTACAGGACTAAAGAATTAGCTGCCTGCACCAAGGTAGTACAGCTTAAAATATTACAGGACTAAAGAATTAGCTGCCTGCAGCACCTCTGTACATTATTTTTTTTTCAGCTATGCTTCCCTCTTTGAAGTTTTATCCTAACCCATTTATTTCACTCCCCCCTCTCCTCAGAAACTCATCTGCAACCTCTTTCTTAAAAAAAAAAACCAAAAAAAACCAAAAAAAACCCACCCAAAACAAAAACAAACAAACCAAACCAAAAAGAGGCATCTGGAAAAGAATTAACTTAGGAGCAGGGCAAATGCAAGGGTAAGGTTTTATGTGTGTCATCCTAATGGCACTCCAAAAATGTGTGCTGAAATTAATATTTCCTTTTTAGGAGCAGAACACTGTGTGCCTTGTATGGATCTGGAAGTGTTTTGCTCCCTCCCCTCAACTCATCAATGCTGCTATCTTGCAACAAGGGTTTTATTCTTGTGCGTGGTTTCAGACCTGATCTCCTTTCACATGCACCGTCAGCAGTTTAAAACTCACTCAGGAGAATTCTTTATGAACTTGTGACTTGGCACGTGAAATTTGGGCTGGCAGTGTGTTGATGCTTTAAAAGGAAGTGGGATTTTTCATCCTACCTAAGCATATAAGATCTCATATTGTTTCAAGAGAATGTTTCTCTTTTTTTGGCCATATCATTTAGACAATTTCAGTTTTTTATATAGAGCTCTATGTTTAATAAATATAAGCTGTGTGTTTTTCATATCACCAAAAAGTAAATACAATGAACAAGCTCTATTTTATGCTAACTATATACAGAGCTTAACAGTTAATAAATCTATTTTAGTAAGTTGGGTAATTCTGCTGCCTTCCAGGTTCTGACTCATGTCTTTCCCCAATGTATCTGGTGTCATTTTTCTGAGCATGCATCACTTTGCTTTAATTTGGAAAAACACAGTTCTCACGCACTTTCACAAAACCCCCATTACAGACTCTTCAGTGGATGAACTTTTCAGTTATTTTGGGATACTGTGAAGCCAGAAAGCTTGATAATACTTTCTGAAAGGGATAAAATAAAGTTATGTAGAATCTATTTGCATATTACATGTCACGTATCATCTTGAAATAGCCTTAAATCTTAAAATAGCCATAATTTTTACTTAACCATGTTACAGTTATGAACATAGTTGGATTGATTTTTTTTTTAACTTCTCAATGACTCACAAGAAGGTGTTAGGGAAAATGAATTTTTTCACTCCTTTCATGCAAAAATCCACATAATATTTTGATTTATGTTTGGGGGAATGAAATTTGGATATCTCCATACTCTGGACTATATATTGTGCTCCCAACTGATTGGAGTGTGGTGTGTTCAGGCTGTGAAATTTTACTGAAATTGTGTGGAATGTTTTGGTTAGGCTTTGTATGGAAGCAAACAACACCAAGAACTGTGTTGAAGATAAAGGAGCCTGGCTCAAACACAAGTCAAGTTGTGTCTATGAGATCTGAGAAAGGAGGAGAAATTAAAGAAAGGGTAAAAAGGAAACAGGAGCTAACAAGCAGACATCTGGGAGGATGGGAGTGCTGGAAAAAAAATAGCAGTGGGGGTTGGAGGTGAAGGAAAGTGTGTAAGTAGGTCAGAACTGTCATGTTGATTAGGAATATTGGAGCAAAGAGGAGTAACGTGCTCAGAAACTGATGGCAAGAGCAGAAGTTGGGTAGGAGGAGAACAGATTTGTTTTATTAAGCCAGTGTAATCAATAGAAAAATAGAAAAGCCTTTCCCACACGATATTTTTCTTCTCGGGGGCAGCAGCAGTTTGCTCACTTCATGGATATTAGGAAATTTTTTAAGAAATGGTAAATTTGAAATAAATCTGGTCTATTCACACAGCTGTACTTTCATTCAGGCTGCTGGACACTAAGGCAGAGTAAAGTCTTTCTTGCTTAAAGGTCTTTTTGTGAAAGGCATTAAAAATGGAAAAAAAAGAGGAATATTTAAATTTCCTTTGAGTGTGTTGTTAATAAACACAGAGAGCAGTGTAAATTTGAACACATTAATCTTTTACAGCTGAAGCTTTTAATCCTCTAATAGGTAAATGAGTAAATATTGTGGTATGAAGTCAGCTTCAGATATGAATGTAATCCCAGTTTACTTAAATCAATATAAATATTTAACTGGATCCTTTGCAGTTTAATCAGTTTTGGACCCAGTAGTGCTACATGTTGCATACAAATCTGGTTGAGAAACTGACTCTAAAATCTACATGCACCCCTTAATTTACTTGTAATACTGTATATTAGGTATCTGAGAGTAATCATGTATTGATGTTGAGAGGTAGAAGAATGTGATGCTCCATGGGAGATGAGAGGTAGAAGCAAAAGGAAAACAAGTAGAAGACAGGAAGACAGAAAATACAGTCTCTTTAGATTTTTCTGAACTGAAAGTGTGGGGACCAGACTAATCTTGAGTGATTTATGTAGGCCAGGCATGTTGCACAGTCAAGCTTTCATCAAATATGTTTTTCTGTTTCAAATTTCAAGAAAAAGCTTAAAATGTTTTCATATCCACAGGAAAAGTGGCATTTGTAGACACATACTGTATTAATTCTACTCTACTAATTACAAATCAGGTAAACCAATGTACATGAGGAATAAAAAAGACAAGGGTTCAAACAAATACCCTTTCTATTTCCTTATAGTCAAAATACCTCCCCCGAGGAGGGCTGCAAAATCAGCTCCTGACAGCATGTTGCCTTGGTCAGGTTACACATCCTCCCTCACACAGTTGTAGTCAGAAGTAATCTTGGTCAACAAGCTTAGATAAAAAAAAATAAGATGCTTTCATTAGATAACTTGACTTTTGCTAATTCTCTGTATTATTCTCTTGTAGGATGTTTGCCATCCCTAGGGCACAGAATTAGTTATCACCTTGAGGAAGGGCTCAGTTTTGATGTAAGTTCCAAGGAATTCCTTTAATTTCAGTATACTAGCACATATTTACACTATGATAAAGATAGTTCAGGGAAGACATCAGTAATGTCTCTGTGTCTCAGAGATATCAGTTCAGCTTGGTGAAATACCATAGACACAACAAACTGCACAAGTACTTTTGATAATATCCCCAGGTCTGCCAGGGTTATCTCAAGCAGAATTTGATATTCTTCTGAGGCACAGGACTATAGCTCTATGTGAGCAAGTGCAAAGAAAATAGATAAATTAACCATGAGAAGAGGGCTACAAAGACACGGTCTTCTCAGTCCTGCAGTCACTCTACAAAAAAGATATCGTTGAGGGCCTCATCTTGAAATCATTTTGTATTTTCTGAAATCCTTCTGGTTTAATTCTCTCTTGACTCCAGAGGGACTGCTAGCATGAGCTAAGTCTGGCTTCTTGGCAGCTGAGCAATAGGGATGAGGCAGCAGTAAAATGGCAGTGCTCATTTAACTCTCCACATCCTCCAAACATGCAGCTGGATGAAGGTCCAGAGTCACTGTGTGGCTAATCAGTGTCTTAAAGTTTCTGGTAAGGAATGGGATTTTGATCACAGAATTCCTGTTTCCAACAGCTGAATGTATT